ATAATGAATTCTGAAAATCATTTAAAATATATTAAATCCATACTATTTTTAAATATTTTTATATTTATCAATATTTTTATTTATTTTTTTCTTTTTATCAATATAAATATTTAATAAATTTTTTATTTTCTATCTCTTAAGTTTCAAAAATTTATCATATTTTCGTATATATATATTATTTATATATATATATTTTGTTGTAATTTTTCATATTATATAAATTTAAACTTTATATAATCAAAAAAAAAAAAAATAAAAAAAAAAAAACTTAATTTTTCATGGTCGAAATGTTTTAAATTTTTCAAATTTTTTATTTTGAAAAAAATTAATAACTATGCGAAATAATTTAATTTTAAAATTTTTGATTCTTTTCAAACTTTATATTTTTATTTATTTTTAATCTTTTTTTTTTTTTTTTTTCATTTAATTCTATTTTCTATTTATTAAATTTATCTATCTATCTATCAATTTCTATAATTTTAATATTGTTATTTTATTTTCAATTTTTGCAATTAAAATATTAAAATTAAGATATAAATTATCTTAAAATATTTGAAATATTTTTTATAAATTTTTTAAATATATAAATTGAATTGTTATTTATATTAAATTTATTAAATGTTCAAATAATAAATATTAAATTATTTTTTTTTTCTAAAAATTTAAAAATTCAGATACATTATAAAGTTATCATTTCGGATAAATTTTATTAAATTATAAATTATAGCATTTATAAAAATTCTCATATAACGTCAAACAAATTTGAAATAAAATTTGTCATAGAAAAAAAAACATGAAAATTATTTAAATATTCAAAAAATTTTAAAATATTTGCGATTTTTAAAAATATAATTTCGTAGTTTACTAAAATAAAAATGGAAAAAAAAATATAAAAATAAAATAAACTCTTTATATTTCAAAATTATGAAAACTAAAGATAATGTCATAAATTATCTTAATATTCATAAAAATTTTAAATTGTATATATATATTAAATATATTTAATTATTTATAAATAATTTGTGATGGATAAATTTTCATCTAAATTACAAAAAATGAAAATAACACTGACATCTCATTTTAACAGATATATTTACCAAAATTACACAAAAATATCTTTGAATACTAAAAAAATAAATTTATTCAATAAAATCACCATTGGCTTCAACCACATTCCAGACAACTTCACTCTCCTGCAACTCTTCTGGACAGTCTCCTTGTTTAAGTTGGTGAATGCTGCCATAATCCTTGCCTTCAGTTCATCTTTTTGGTGTTACAAAGGAGTTTTGTTGGTCTCTTCATCTCAACTGCACCCCACACATAATAATCAAGGGGTTGCAGTCTGGGGAGTTAGGTGGCCAGATGTAAGGGGTGATGTGGTCACAGAAATTGTCTGACAGCCATGACTGGGTTCTCCTGCTTGTGTGGCATGGTGCAGAGTCCTGTTGCCAGACATAGGGTCTTCCAGCAGCCATGACCTCTTGACCCAGGGCAGCACTACCTTTTCTGTGAAATGCAAATTGATGGCGAGGCTGTGTTGAGTCTGAGGCCCTCTGGGAAATTTGGATGGAGTTTTTTTAAATATATTAACAATTTGGAAAAATTTTAGTTAACCTGTTTTCACCTCACAAGTTTTCAGAATCACCATTAGACTCATCCAACTCTTTCTGAATCCTCTGCACTGTCCTCAGATTGACATATTTAGTTCTCATAGAATTCAGTAATAACACATTCACTACTTCATTATAAAAAAAGCCGATTAGCAGAAACTCTTGCCAATTTAATTTTAAGACTTAAATATAAGATATAAAATAGGTGTTATCAAAAATTTCCTCAAGAGATTACACAAGAATTCATCCTCTTGTTCCCTTTTCCTTAAAGAACTCAACAATGTGAAATAGATGCTAGTTAATAATGTTTTTCCTGACCACCAGATTCGATTATTTTTTTTCTAAAGTAACTAATAATGAACATACAGATAAAAAACAATAACATTAACATCTTCTACAAAAGCCAAATACATGTTAACTATAAACAAGACAAATTATCTCTTAGAAATATAAAGAAATACACAACCCCAGTCTCGTCCTGGGTATGTCATTAAACTACATCCACATCCTGGGTAAGATGTTAAACTATGTCCAGCAGGATTGTGAAGTTTTGAGGAATGTGGAACCACCTCTTAATTACTGGTGTTCCCAAGTCCACCCTGACCCGGGGTGGTAGCACCTGTTAGGGTCCCAGCTATTACCAGCAATACTTTTTTGAAAAAAATTATTACCAGCAATACAATTTTGAAAGAAATATATTACCAGAAACAGATTTTTGACAAAAAAAAATATTACCAACTATAAAAAATGTTCTCGGCATTAAATAACCCATTCAGGTATTGATATGCCGTTAAACAAAATAAACCAAACCAAACAACTCCAGTTGATCAGAACAAGAAAATGAAATTATTTACTACAAAGAACTGAAAACAGCTAACCTTATCATCAATGCTAACAACACATCTGCAAAATCAAAATTATAGAGAATCAATATTATTTACAAGTTCAAATGCCCCTTAAAGAACTGTGTTCTTGATCAAATTAAACTCATAAATAATTATATTGGTCACATCATTACATGCCTATATAGACAACTCACATTACACATAACTGACCCTAAGCTCAATTAAACACACAGGGAAACCTACCAAATTCCTTCCCCAACATACTAGTAGAAAATACAAACATAATAACCTCATCCACATGTAAAAAAAATAATGAAAGCCCTAATAATAAAAAAGAAGAAGCCAACACTCATTAACATTAACTATGAATGCGGCCACAACATGCTGACCATGTTTGGAAAAGAAAACATTCCTATAACTTTTTAGATACATACATGAAAAAAACAAAAAACCCACACATTCAATAAAAAATAAAAATCCTTCTTGATAATGGCTAAAAAAATAGCTGAAAGCACTTGGGTATACAGATCTTTTGGACAGTTTGTACACACTTTATGTCCAGAAAAGAAAAACATTTATACAAACAAGAAAAATTAAATAAAAAGCTTAATCGCAGTACCTTGTCAGTCATCTTTAATGAAACTTATAAAAGAGGGATTGCTTCCCAAATACAAATCAATATATATATATATATATATATATATATATATACTTAGTCGGATACTATATATATATATATATATATATATATATATATATATATATATATATATACAGATACTCATGTTTGAGTAGATATTCCCATTTTTTAAACAGTGAAATTAATCGGCTGAAACATTGTAATAAATATGGCAACAAAGATGAGGACAATAGTCCGAATAATGTAAATAATGTATATATTACCTCATCTCAGAAATATAGACAGATACTGATGAGAGAACAAGTTTTTTCTTTACACAAACATTTAAATTAGGAGTAAATCACACACACAAACAAAATTTCATTGAATGTGATGGATAAGCAAAATCTTATAAATGTTCTCATAGTTTTTTTTTCTTTTCTGGAGCCTAAGAAAATGTAGAAACTATTATTGTCCCACTTTCAGCCAATTCATTCATTTGCCATTTTCTTGTGTTTATGTTGTAAGTTGTGTAGAGATACTAGTAATTACTAGTTGGGAAATCTTAGTCATTGCATATTGGGAATGTCTTTAAAAAGCAAACTCTAAGAAAAACCGAATAAAAAAACTCGAGGTAATGACTATCATTTAGATCAGTTAGCAAAACTCAAGAACCTATGTGACTCTGAAATTTAAGCCTGGAGGTCTTTAAGACTCATTCAGAACTTTCATTGTTTGGCTTAGAAGAGCAATATTTTCCTCAAGCTCCCAGCTTCTGATTGAATTCAAAGAAGGAATGGCAAATATGAAGATTCATGCCCATAATAAGATGGTGTTGTACATTGTACAAAAACTTTAATCATGGTTATTTTCTTTTTGATCAAAATGAATAAATAAAGTGAATAACAAATAAAAAATTTACTTGTTCTGCATTTAGAATATGCAAACCGAAGTCATGTAGAAAATATAGAACTGATAATGAAATTTGTTTATTGTTTTTACTTCTCAGTGCGCTTCTTTCTAAATATTTAGAAATTAATAAGAAATGTTGCAAAAGTGACATTAAAACTATTAGAAACTGGTTGGCACAAATCCATTACACATGGAATATGATTGAAATAGCAGTCAGGTACAACTAATATCCGACTTGCTTAGCATCTCCTCACTTAACAATTAAATTTAGAATTTTGGTTGTTAAGTGAGGAGCAGCTGTAATTCAGAGCTGTTAACAAAAATCAAGAAATAAATGTTGCAAAGGTGAACTTAAAACCATTAGAAGTTGCTTGACACAGATGTAGTGCCTAATATAGTTGGCCTGAAATAGAAGTGAGGTATAACTTTCTCACTTGGTGATCAGCTTGTTTAGCAGCCAGCTCATTAGAACTGAACGCAATCATTATATGAGGAATTAGTCAGTTATGTGCCATGTGTAATACATGCGTAGGCGATCATGTATCTTTTGTCACATGACTGACGAGGTAGATTTTTTTTTCCCCACAGTAGGTTTCCATTTCTTTTTGTGGTAGACCAGTTGGCATCCAAGGCTATAGAACCCAGTCTGTCCAGCTATTTAACCTTAGCTGGAGGGGAAGAAGAGGATTAATACCTTTCCTAAGGTTATTAGAATGTAAGCAAACGTAATGGTTTTGACTGGAATTTGAACTCAGCTCTTTGTTTCCTCAATCTGAGCTGCTATCCATTACTCCACCGTGCCTCCTATGAATAGCATTTTAATTATCAAATGTCAGAAAACAGACAATTTTGGGAAGTTGGTCAGGTTGAGAACTTTTCAACATTCCTTCATAACAAATTTTTAATATTGCAAAACGATACAGAAAAATACTTTTTTGTATATGTAGAAAACAAAGTATTTTTTTGCTCTGTATTTTTAACAAGTTCAAATTTGATTTAATTTTCTCTTTGTAGCTGCAATGTCTTCACTGTTTTCTAATGCTTCTGGCGGTGACAAGCATCGAGAGACACAACTGCAGCTGCAACGGAAACTGCAAGAACGGGAAATGCTCAAGGAGCTGAAACGCCGTTTACACCAACAGAGACAAGAGAATGAACACGAAACAAAATCACCACACCGAACTCGCAACGAGAGTTACACCCCTGGTCTCCCAAGCCCAAAGACCAAGTTTCTATCACCGTCCTCCTGTTTGAGATTCCGTTCCTCAAGTAGTTTGGAGAATCTTCTGATGCCCACGGCTGTCTCAGACAACAAATCTCATATCAAGGATCAGGCTGCTTCTGTTCCTGCCTCAGGTCGTGAGCGGGTGCTGTCTAGTGGGAGCAAAACTCCTGCTATCTCCCATGATGCGGCCATGTCTGCTGCGCAAATGAAAATTTATTCTACTCGATCTCTTTTCCAAGACAAATCATTAGACAGACAATGTGCTCAGTCAGAGGGGAGCGAGACAAGAATCCCCAGTCGAAGTGGGACAAAAGAGGCTGGCCCTGACATAACAGACTCAAAACAGAGCAAAACACCTGAATTAGCTACTTTCCATTCCTTGAAAAAAGCCATCTGTGATCCCAATTCAGAGCTGGGCCGATGAGAAAAACTCGAGCACTCAGCCACCGAGCAGCAGAACTGGCCCATCCAACCTTTCGGTTATGTTATCAACTTCTGCTCAAACCTCGACTGACAGTCTTCATAAGCCACAGTTGTTAACTACGGACATAAACCAAAATATCAAATTAGATCCAAGCCTATCCGAAAAGGCCATCAGCTCGAGCAATGCGTTCATGTTAAACATGGTGCTTGAAAAGACATCACGTGTTGGCACTGGTGTTCCTCTGGTATCTCAAACAGGTTCTGCAAAAAGTGCATTTGTACCATTTTCCCAGATGCATCTGCAAAACATTGCTGAAACAAAGACAACTCAATCTGCTGATTACTTACCCACCTCTTCTCAGAAAAGCACGGATCATAGTTCTGAACCAAGCATCTTGGCTCAGATGCTAGAATGTAATGATAACAACAGCACGTTGGCATCCCCAAACAGCAACAGCAGCAGTTACATTCAGGTACCCACACTTAAATCTGGTTGGGAATCAGAAGGAGCAACATCTGTCAGTTCCACTGAGTGTGTTACGCAAACATCTCCCTCGGTTACGAAACGATCACGATCCCGATTTGCACCAATACGACCAAAAGCGATGCAAGCCAAGACCATCTTGTCCCTGCTCCAGGAACAATCTGGAAACACGTTGGACTCCACCCCCTATGATCGTCGACGGGTGGCAACCATTCTGAAGGAGAAGCATGCTCGTGAACAGACCGAGACGGTGAACCAGAGTGCATCAAGCACGCCTTTGCCTGTTACAGCTACAGCTGCCGTTGCAACTTCTGCATTTGCCACAGCAACGGAAGTGGTCACATTTCCTATGAACCCTGTGGTCAGCAAACCTAATGAGTTGCTTATCATTCTTGGTTCCCCTGCCACAGGAACGGTCAGTGCAGCTGGCAACGTTTTCCTATCACCATCTCAGAACTCATCAAATATGGCTACATTAGATAAACAGCAGGCAACTCTGGCTGGCACCGCCATTTTTCAGACAATTCCATCTGTTAATAGCAGTGTGGCATCGCAGACAGAAATGGTGATCTCAAATGGAGGAAATGCTAGCAATGTAAATACTGCGACGACTGGTGAAACCCTGGCCTGGAAGACCATCCAACTAGACACAACATCCCTACCCCACATTGCTATTCCTAGTCAGCAACTGTTTACCTCACTAAATCCACAACAGGAGGCCGGTTCTACCTCTTCATTGGGAATTGCTGTCCCCCTTAGTGGAGGACTTGTGTCTACAACTGATGCCCAAGAATGCACAGTTGACCCCTCTACCCAATTCATGATCTCGAAAAACATCCAGTTGGATGGTGCTCTATTGTCAGCGTTCAATTTCAACATAGCTGACCCTTTACAGAGTGCACAAACCATATCCGTATCAAATCTCCTCCCTACTGACTTGGCTACCTCACAAGTAACAGTTAAAATGGAAACGGTAGAACCAGACAACTCGTTGTTGATGACTACTAGTCAGGTGCCCAAGAGGTTGTCCGAAGATTCTACATCCAGTATTTTACAGCATCAACCATCAACAGAGATTGTTAATTCTGCTACATCTATTGGAAAATTCGTTCTGACCAATTTTGGTACAAATGTAAGCATGAACAATGAAGAAGCTTTATTGTCTTCTGGCAGTGAAGGCAACAGCCAATCCGAAATTAAAGTAGAAAAGTCCGACCCCCCTACCAAACCAGCTTCACTTCTGCGACCCTTACTTAACAGTGATTTACTTCCGGGAGAATTTACCAAAACCAAAATCCTGAATGAATTGCTGAGCACCGAAGACTCTCTTCCTGAAAGTTCTCCAATTCATGAAATCGATTCCTTAGATAAGCATAAGTTGGACACCATCGACAAATCAAATACTGATAACCATCCAAAAAATGAACCAAAAACACAGAGTGCAAATTCCGACAAAATAACTTTACCAGTTCAAACGCCATTGACAACCATGTTGGACAGCACCTCAACATCTGTTGTAGCAAAGACAGAGAAATTTACCAAAAGACCCCGCACCATATCCAACCAGGGTCCAACAGTGTCAAGCTCCCAACTCCGCTCAAGAACTTTATCTGCAGATGCCACTTCTACTGGGGTTTCCTACAGTAATCCTACCTGTGCTAACAATGTGCTCCAACAGCTGTCCTTATCTCATGCCACAGTAGCCAGTGCAGAACAGTTGACTAACTTTGCAAGTGCCCATCAGAATGAAACTGTTTCACCTAGCATCTCATGTCCAAATAATCTGAATGCTTGTCTCCTCACAGACACAGTGGTCACTTACTCAAGCCAAGTTGTTTCGAGTCATGTGACTGGTGACTTAGTTGAACCATCTTTACCTGAAGACAAAAATTGTGAAATGTCTCCTCCTTTGCCTAATAGCAACAACAAAGACAGAGCAGATCAGTTATTGAAAGATCTTGGAGTTGCTCCGAAGCAGGAAGCTGGTAAAAGCCAGCCTGAAATCCACCCGACAAGTCGTAAACGAAAAGCTAGCGAAAAATCGTCCAGCTCAAATACGAAACGAAAACAGCAATCAAGCAAGGCAGCCACAGATTTGGTTGGTCAGCTTGATTCATCTATTGCAACAAGTCCGCTAGTTTCTAGTGGGCAAGATTGGATGACATTAGGAACAACTATAACAGAAAATCCTGAGGGTGTGAGTAGTGGCTTAAACACTGAACCTTTGCAGAGTCCCGACATATCGAGCGTTGAGAAGGACGCCCTTTTGGACAGTGCCCCCCAAATGCTTGGCTTGGAACTCTCCAATGCTGGTTCTATGCACTGTATACCTACAAGCAAAATGAGTTGCCACTCGCAGACCATGCTGAGTAGCACTGACAACAAAACGTTACCTTCCTCAAATCTTTCTTCTTCCCAACAGTTTGATCGACATATCAGTGATCTACTAAGCCTGGTCCAGCCTCTCAGTAATGAAGGGATCTCGGCCGTCAACTCTGCAGCTGACTCGGCCTCTCTTTCTAACTCGCAATTATCCCTACAAGGTGTTCCGTATTCACAACTTTCCCCTCAACAGGTAAATATGGCGACAGAACTTGCCGTTTTCAAACGGTCTGTTACCGACACTGTAGCTGCATTATTGCAGCCTACTGATCAAAAAACTGGACAGACATCTCAGGGAATCCCAAGTACGGCTACTCAGAAGTGCCAATTCTCTCAGGAAACCCCTAGTTTGCTCCAGAAGCACTTGACCAACATGGTTGATGCTTCGTTAACAGACCCCCATGAAGAGCAGCGGCAGCAGCAGCAATGTGCAAAATCCAGCTTTCTCTGTGAAATATTACAATCTTCAGACATCATCAGCAAGAAGAAAGACTTTTTAGAAGAGGAACTGCCATCTGATGTGGCTGACTTCATCACAGAATCCATGACAAGCAATCAAAATGAATCCGTCTTTCCGAATGGTAGTACCGGCAGTAACACGAGCACAAGTAATTTACAGCCTTTCCCTGACTTGAAACTTGATGTGGAAGACCTTTTGAACCAGACGACCCCATCCTCAAATGCAGATGTTGCTGCTGCTGCTGCTCCTCCTGTCAATACGACAGCAGACCTTGGTGCTAATGTGTTTGTGCCTGAGGACACCCTCAAACACGCTACTACATCCGTTTCCATTTTGGGAGAGGCTGAAACCAGCAACACCCTGAACTCTACCCAGAACCGTCCATTCAGAGATCATCTCGAGAACAGCAACACTTTTGCAATCCCAGACGCACAAGCTGTAGTCCGGAAAGGGGTAGAAGTTAAACAAAGTCGTTTCTCTGCAGCCACCTCTCATCAACCCCAACAACAGGCTTCATCTGTACAGGCCACTTCCACCAATGAGTCAACAGTTTTTCGAATGTCAGGACAGGCTCCGGAATTTGTGGCACCAAATGTCACCATTTCACAACGCTGGCACACTCTGAGTTACGAAAAAACGGGCTCGCACACTCCTGTTTCTGATAGCGGTTACAGTAGTGCCAGTCCTATTCGGAGCACCCCGCCAACTGTTCCTTTTAGCTTTGGAAGCAGTGCAGAAAACTTGGTCAGTAATGTTATAGGCCATCTTGAACATCGATCAGCTAGCTGTGAACCCCCAAACCAAAGTCCTCTAGCAGAGCCAGTCCAGGCCTACACTCCAATTGCTGCACTTCAAGCATCAAATGTCAGTACTGGACCAAGCCCTACCAGTCTGCCCCCATCACCCCAGACTTTTACACCTATTCATGGAAGCTCACTGAGCGGCACAACATATGACCCACCACCCATCCGACCAACAGCAACTGTTGCCAATAAAACCCTCTCCGGCCCACAGTCGAACACTTCATCAGTGAGTAATTCACAGCAGCCAAGTAGAACAAACAAGGAAAACAATAGAGAATTGTTGAATTTATTGCAAGCTAAAAGTCCCCCTTCATATGAAAATGCAATTCGTATGTTGAGTCAGAAGTCACCTCGTGCAGCCGCTTCTGGTCAGATTGCACAGAGAAGTCCAGGCCCAGTTAGCAGCAACATCAGTGATACACCACCCCAATCACAGCAAATCCCAACTCCAGCTACGAAACCCAGAAGCAAAGCTCGTTCCAGGTCGACATCAAACACTGCAACCAAAAGCAGAAGGAAAAGGTCGATGAAAGAGAGTGGATGCATGGAAACAAAAGGAACGCAAATGCCGCAGCTGGTCAGGTGTTTATCTGACAATAGTGCTTTGCCTTCTTCATCTGTTGCTACAGCAATGGAAACCAGTCAACCGGAAACTGACTCCAAATCAGACAAAGATAAGTCTAGTGCTCCTGCCGATGGTCCCCCAAGTAAAACAAAGAAATCCGTTCAGATATCACCCGCATATCCTTTCTCCTATAAACTCTCCCTCCTCAAAGACCGCAGTGCAGTTGGTGGCCAAGTCATTGCAAGTGGCGATAGTCCAGTTGTGTCTGTTGAACACCCGCCGACCGCAAGTCAGGCCAGTTTTCTAAAACTGACCAAATCGGGCAAAGTGAAACAGGAAGAAGGATTAGGAAGTGGTATGTCTGCTGGTGGTGGCACAGGTGGCAGTGGTACCTGTTCAAATCAGTCAGTAACCACCTCGCGTAGCCAGTCTGTGCCCCTTCAGAATGTCACGTCTGCATCGACCCAACCGAAACACGGGGGACGGCAACCGAAGAAGTCAACTCACATTTCGGACTTGCCAAACGTCAATTACATGGGTAATGCTCCGAATGTTGATCTCAGTCGAGTGTTTTGGGAGAAACTGCTCACGACCACCAAATCTTGCACCCAGGGGGTCACTGTGACTAGCGTCAGTAGCAGCAAAGGAGGAAACAGTGACACGACCAGCACAGTGAATCCTGTCACTGCTCCAAGCAGTTCTTCAACCAAGAGAAACCTGATCCAGTTGCTCGAAGACAGAACAAGTAGCACCGAAGAGGTGAAAGAATTTAAATCCAACCTTGATGATCTTTTTGGAATGCACTGCTTGACGGCCGGAGATTTTCAGACTTTGGTCAGTAGTGAAGCTCTTAATCAGTCACTTTTGATAACATCTGTCCAACCCCAGATAGTAACGTCATCAGTCAGTTCAACTCAACCTAGTGCTGTATCAGCAACCACCACGACAACAACAATGGTCCCCTCATCAACTCCCATCACTAACAGCAGCAGCAGCAGCAGCAACTCTAGCGTTTTAGAAGAAGAACTAACCGCAGGTGCTTATCAGGGCCAGAGGTCATTAAATCATCCAATGTCCTTCTCACCTCACTCTATGCAGTAACGAAAAAGAACTAAAAAAAAAGAAACAACCAAAGTGGATCAAATTGAATGAAATTACCCATGGTTTCCTTTTAAAAAAAATTTTGTACAAAAATTTTTCTGAAACTTTTTTTTTTTTTTTCTTTGCCTCCATTAATAATGGACTGTTGATTTTTTTTTTTTTTTTTTTTAAATCTCCTTTGTTGTTTTGAAAGTTTTTTTTTTTTTTTTATTGAAATTAAAAAAAAAAAAAAAAAAATCAAAAAAAAAAAAAAAAAGAAAGAAAAAGGTTTTCTTTCTAACAAACATCCAATTAATAAATATTTGTCCCCTTCCTTCCCAAAATTGTATTTTCTCACATTTTGGGCCCCTTTTGGTCCCATTTTAAGGAGCAGAAAAATAAGATTTTTTTTTTTTTGTTAAAAATGGGGTAGGATAGGGGTGGCTACAAGAACAATTTAATCTCAGTTTTGTCATTCTGCTGATTTCAATGCCTATTTGGGATTTTATTTAAAAAAAAGAAAAAAACAATTATGAAAAAGGAAGAAAAAAGAGAGAATGGAAATTGAGTAAGAAAAGAAAACCTCTTTTATTTGAGGGAACACTGTGTGTCCTTTTATGTTGAGCACTGCTCACTTGAAATGGTCGTACCTTGAATATGTGTAGTCCTTGTTCTGCTTCAATATCCTGTTGCTAGGTTTTCTTCTCTTGGAGGGTGGGGGGAGAGCAAACGGGACAGCAGAGGAAAGAAAAAGAAGTATCTCTCTCTAGAGAATTACTTCTTTCTTTTTCTCCCCTCTCTAATTACTTCCTTGTCCTCCTCTTCCAGTCCTGCCAGACTCTCTCTCTCTCTCTCTCTCTCTTTAGTAACAAAAGATCTGCAAATAGAATTTTATTTCTCTCTTCAATTTTTGTCTAAAACTGTGATAAACATTTTTGCCACCAACCCTAAATTTCTAGGGAATTTGTCAATTGTCTCATTTTATTGATGATGATGATGATGATGATAAAAATCCTATAAGAAAATTTTAAGTCACAAAATGAGTATTTTTTTTTTATCTGGTTTTAATTTTTTTTTTTAATGTTTTTAATTTTTTATTTTAATAATTGTGCTTTTTTATTTTTATTTTTTTTTTGAGTTTTGGGGAAAGATATTTTTTAAATTTATTTAATTGAATTTCTACACGTAAATCTTTAAAACATTTTTTTAAAATACTTTTATTAACTTTTCAGGTTCAACTGAATTAAATTGACGTGTGTTCATTGCTTATTTATTTATTTAGTTTTTTTGGTTAGGAAAATATTCTAACTCTTGGAGTAATTCTTTAAAAAGACCTGCACACCAAATTGACAGTATAAAAACCGTCCATTTGATTTATTTTTTATTTTTTTTTGTTTCCTCTCAGCCATTTTAGTTCTCACGTCCATTGTTGTTCTTTGATTCCCATAGATTGTCAACCTTTTCCTTTTTTTTTGTCCAGGATTCACAAAAAGCTCTTTATGTCAAACACACAGGCATATTATATCAAAATAGTCAGACATTATTGAAACTGCTTCTCTTGCAACAGTCGCCACCAACAGTTCCCAGCTGTGAACTTTATCAGATGAAATACTTTTAAATATTTTTTTTTTTTTTTAGAAATGTGAGCAAGTATTTATTCCTAATAGATTATAATGAACCTTTTTATTTTACTTTTAATTTTACAACTGATTCCAAAAAGCATGAAAATATTTCTTTGCAATTTACTTCATTGTACATGGAAATCATATGTGAAAGAAAGAAAGCCCTCTGTAGTCAATCAACAAAGATTGGATACTATTACTTTCTAGGGACAACAATAAGCTCTTAATTGTCTCACTTATAGCATCTCAAATTTCACATTTTTTTTTAAATTTTCTGTTTAGCTAATTTTGATCTGGACACACAATCAAACAATTAAATTGTCATAAAATAATTCATATTTCCAAATCAAGAGATTATTTTGCAGTATTTGGCAAAATTTCAAAATTGTTTATCTTGTGCTTAAATTCATAGTGTTTTGGGTTTTTTGTTTGTTTTTATAAAAAAATAAATTTAATTTGACTACCCGACAATTTCAAATTTGTTCCTTACTTGAGCGACATTGGAAATGGTTGACTATTTTTGTGCTGTTAAGAGGAAATGAGAAGTATTTCTGACATTGCACATATGAAAATAGATTTGAAGGTGGTCATCAAGTCTATAAAAATCAATTAAGATCTGACCAGAAGATTTCAAGTAAATTTGTTTAAATTTGTCTTTTTAAAAACCAAATTTAATTTGATTACAAACACTTCAAAAATCTGAGTGAAAAAAAAAAAAAAAAAAAAAATTGTCTGTCAATAAATTCACATTAAAATTGTTTGGTAGTTTGTAAATATTTAGTAGATTTGACAGAAACATTTGACAAATTCTTTGCAAGAAAACGGTTTTATTTCGGATTTCTAAATACATTTTGAAACATGCTGAATGTTACATCAGTTCTCCAATGCATAAAACAAAATAATGGATTCTCTGTGTAGGAATTGAATTTTAATTTCCAATTTATTGATGAGGAATTTATTATTATGGACCTCTTCTTAATTTTCAAGTGAAAATTCCTATTGATTAATACAAACATTTCTTTGGAGCAAGAAGCAGCTTCCTTAACATCCAACGTGCATCCCACAATATTTACAACTTTCTTATTTTTCTTTGACTTTTTAATAAGAAAGCAATTTTCTGCTGCTTTTATAAATGAAGAGTTAGTAAAAAATTTATTTGAATTTGAATTTATTTGATTGACTTTTTGACATGAAAAATTTTATGAAATGCATGGAAGTTGATATGAAAATGAAAAATTGTGTGTACAAGTATATATATATATATATATATATAATCATTTATTTGAAAATTATGACATAAATATGTTATAAAATTACTACAAAAATAGCCATTTTGTTTCAACACTTCTGGTGTCTTCTCAAGTGATGGTGCTGAATGAAGAATAAATGTTTTTTTTTTCCCTTTAGAAACCCTTTATTGTTCATTCAACACCATCACTTGAGAAGACACCAGAAGTGTTGAAACAAAATGGCTATAATAATAAATCCAAATTTTTTAAAAATTAATCAGTTTGTCTGATGATTGCAAAAGCGCGAGACCCAGGGTCACAAACTCACATCAATCCAACTAAATATGTTAGCTCTATCTCTGATATTGAGCGCTTTCCAATAAGTACCGCACATATAATATATAAATAATATATTGCACAAAATTGCACATATATATATATATATATATATATATATATATATATATATATATATATATATATATTATATTATTCACGTTTGTTTGTGTAAGATCAGATATAACTAAAAACATTGGTAAGGACAATGTAAATAAAAGCAAAGGGAAAACATCTTAGCCGACACTGTTAAATACACAATCAGTCTTCCTTGATCTATAGTTCATGATGCCACGGATCTTGTCTCAGCAATGTGATAAACAGCTGCAATGATTGCCTGATTCAGCTGCCTTTGGTGTAGAAATGGAATCTGATGCAGCCATACATCCATTACCATTTGCATGACCATATGTAAAAATCATATCTGCATTCTCACGATATGAATATCCTGCAATTGTTAAATGGAACACTTCTCAGTTAACTCACCACTACACTCAAACATTGAAGACAGACTAACCATAAATGTACATGAATGACAAATGTAACCTAGTCTACATGACAAGACAATGCCATCTACCATAAACTTTCTTTAAACTCAACTCAAAAACAAAAGATTTGCAGACATATGTTTATATGAACTTTTGTCATCATTTTGGTGTGAGGAACCTGCTCCAAAGTTTGTAAAAGTATATATATATATATATTACTAGCTAGCAGAGATACCTGGCATTGCTTAGGGCCTTAATCATAGCAATGCTTATAAGTGGCAGTTTAAGAAGGAACCCTGAAAAGGGCTGTTCAATGACAGTGTAAAAAAATTAAAAAGTGCTGGAATATGTTCCCTGAGAACGTAAGAATCAAATAGTGGTAGTCTTGCAAAAGGCTAGAATACGTTCTCTTAGAGTGTTACATTTTAGATGTTGTAGCTCTAAAAAAGGGCTTTTTTTTTGTTTATGCACAGCAAGAGATGGTATTATACTGGAGACATGGCAAGACCTTCTAGTGAAATGGACACAGAATCTAATGCTGACAAAAGAGGAATAAAAACAGTAAGAATTAAACAAAAGGAAAAAGACGAAGTGCATCACTCACCTAAATCATGCGCGGAAACGGGCAAACTGGAAGGACTGAAGTATTACAGAATTTGTGACTACGAGCGGACATGTGAAGAGCCTACCACATCTCTCTATAGACAACATTTTTAGTTTTTCCATTTGAAGTGAAAGCAAATAAATTTGTTTTGTTTCTCATCTCTAGAAGAACTAACATATAGCTGTCCATGGGAGAAGCATGGCTTACCTAAATATAGACCGGCTGTGGAGAATGTTTCTCCTTGAGACCTGTTGACTGATATCACAAAGTCTTAGATGGAAATTAAAATCTGCACAGAGCAAAGGGAATTCCCACACCTGATAGAGTGAGAGTTATGAATATATCCTCTTCCATACCAGTAACATGTTTTTTTTTTAAGCATTTCACCCAAAGCAAGGCGGGAAGCCACTAGGATACAAGGGGTTACAGAAAATTTAGAGCAAGATCAGATAGGAGTGATAGAAGAAAGGATGAGGGTAGTGGATAGATCAAGGCAACTGGAGTTGTCGTGGCAGTAGTTTCTTAACCCCAAGGTAGGTTCTGTTGCAGAGCCTTGGCGATTCCAGGTTCCTCAGCAACATTACTGGAGCTCTGATTTTGAGGTGCAATGCATGGGGTGATAGCCTGGAGAGGTTCAAAGAGTTTAGAAACTCTATTGAATAGTGAACCACCTCTTGTGGATCGGAAATGGTGTCAATTGATTTGAAGCTTTCCTGGTTGGAATTTCAGTATTTCTTCATTGATTTTGGCAACACTAGTGTTTTTAAGAGCCAATTTTACTTTCTTGCTGGAGTTTCCAAAATTGTTAGCCAGATCTGAATAGACAGCAGCTTTGAGGCCATGAACAGTATTTACAATGGAGCATATTTGTGAAACTGAGATCTATCCAGCTTCAGCCGATGACATGTTACCATCACCGACTGTTAGAAGGTCTTTGAAAATTGCACTGATATTCAGTCCCCGAACAGTTCAGCTCTTACGTCATTTTAAAAAAAATTTTGACCTGTTATCACAGAGGTGATGACTTAATGCAATGCTTTCACAGCGTTCTCCCTTGTACCTTTGCGAACAACGGGGAGAGTTTGCCTGAAATCACCTGATAGAGAGACAGCTACTCCTCCCATTGGATGCTGACAATCCCTCATGTCTTGCAAAGTCCTATCAAGGGCCTTGAGAGCTCTTTTAGGGGCCATTATGCACTCATTCTACACAATGAACTCACAACTTTTCAGGACGTCAGCTTTATCTGAACCCTTGCTGATGTTGCAGGTCACTGAAGTCAAATTAATTAGCAGCTTAAAGGTGGAGTGCACTGACATACCACCAATCAGAAGGGTTAGACAAGTTAATCACCCTCTTTTGTGAGGAGAAGCTTCATGACGAATGTTTTACCTGTCCCTCCAGGTGCATCCAAGAACAAACCACCTTTCTGAAGGTAAACAGAGTTGAAAATGATATTGTAAGCCAACTGCTGGTCCTTAAGCAAATTTTGCTCGTTTTTGCTGACATATCATTCAAGAATGTCGATGTGGTAGGAAGTCTCCTGAATTATGCCTGTTGGAAGAGTATTTGAACTCATTTGGCAAACTTAGGGCAGGCTGTAAATTTACAATGAAACCCACCCATAGAAACAATCCTA